TTTTTTTTTTTTTTTTTTTTTTTTTTTTTTTTTTAATATGTTATTAATTATTGTAATTGGTGGGACATTGATAGGACGTTTTTGTACATTGATATTAACGTTAAATGTATATCGTGAGATTGGTTGTCAAAGTTTTGAAAGAATTTCTTTGCAATTTGGCATTGTGTTATTCGATGAGTTAGAAAATTCTTATTTCATATAAATGATATATTTTTTGTTATACATAGATCATAAAATATATGACTTTTTGAAGATGAATCATTTAATCGATTGTTGTTGTAGAAATAAGTATACACGAAACTCGGTCTAAGTTTAATGTTCAAATTATATCTTTTAATATAATGACAAAGAGAAATATTTGTATACTCTTCTAATCAAAAAATATAATATTAATTTTAGAAATATTAAAAGATAAAATATATTAATTCGTACACCTCTATTTGTTCTCATATAATGTTATTAAATAATAATATCTCTCGTGTAAGATTAATACTTGGTGATAAGATAGTTGTGTTGCAACTGCGAAAGAGAAAGAAAGAAAGAGAGTTTCGCAAGGAAGATAAATAAAAAAAAAACAGAAAGAGAAGGAAAGAAAGATAAAAAAAAGATAAAGAGAGAAAGGAGCAAGTAAAGAAAAGTAAAAGAGGAGGATAAACGAGAAGGAGGGAAGTTCCCAACGTTAATTACGATACGGCTGGCATGGCTAACGGAGAAGTCGGTCCCTTTATTCCTCTCTCTCTCACTCTTCTCATATGAATATCGCATTAAGTCATAAAGGAGAGATAGCTTTAGGCCAGGGGTTGGTCCCCGATGGGAAACTACGAATTTAATAGAATAATAAATAGACCGGTCCACGTCGGAACCCGAGGGCCAAGATCGAACACGATCAAGATCTCTCTGCCTCTGCCTTTCTGATGGTGTGGTGGTTGTGGTGCTTTCCTGGGTTCGATCGCTAAAGCCTGATTTCGCCAGATCAAAACTTATGATAATAAGGTTCCCGATATTTCGATCATAACCATCGTAAAAAGAGAGCTCTACCTCCCCTCCCTGTTACTGGACCTTATTCTCATTCGAAAACCCCTTCACTTTTGAGTGTCAGCTTCGAACGATCCTAATGTTTTATTATCATTTTCAACAGAAAAAATAATATAATATGATATCATATATATATATCTATTATTATTAATTAGTATATATTATATATTTATATGTGTAATATATATATAATAATAATCACTTATAAAAATATATTAATGTAATATAAGTAACTATTTAATTTATACATATATTATAATAACATA